TGGCCCTCGCACCCGCCCGCCGCGCCGCGAGCGCACCCGCCGGGCCGCGCGCGCCGCGGAGACTTCCTTTTGCGCAAACGGTACGACGCCTGGCCCGGATCCATGCGGACAGCGGCGGCGCAGCCTCCTCCCGCCCCGTCCCCTGCGCACGACTGAGCGGGTTCATAGCCGCGTCACGGCCCGGGCTCCTCCTTCCGCTCTCGGAGGAGAAAGCAGGGCGGGCGCGGGCGGAGCCTTTGCGCGCCGCTCCGCGTCCCTGCAGCCCAGCGTGGAAGGGAGACAAAGGCGCTGCGGCGCGCTCTTGCGACGGTCGCCGGCGGCGGTTCCCCCGTTGTTTGGAGCGGGCGAGCGCATGGCAGCCCCTTCCAGCCTTAACGTGCAGGCGGACCCTGTCTTGCAGCCCGCATGTCGTGGGCCCACCGAAGTCCGTTGATTGGTTTTCTCTATATCATAACCTTACTAAGCATTACAGTTTTATAGATAAAAACTAATGCGAACTACAAAAAAAGAAAAGAAAAGAAAACAAATAGAAAGTGCAGAAAAAGAAAGAAAAAAGAGTAATATGAAAAGAAAAACAGAAAGGAAAGAAAAATAATATTGCAAAGAAAATGAAGATAAATATAAAAAGAAGTGACTTCCCCCTTCGTCACAAGTACAGACAATTTTAACAATTTATCACCTTCCCTTAAAATATAATGGATGATCTCTTCTTCCCATATCTCATCTCTTACCTATAAACGGATCCTTAAAACCACCTAGTTCAGCCCTGGTCAGCAAAAGTCCATTAAGGGTTACCAGAAATAACAATCTATTTTAACCTTGATCAAATAAACCCACTTTATATTACTGCCTTTTACTTTTAACAGTCCTGATATTTAATCCCTTCAAATAATGTCCTAGAACTGGATTTCACTTTTTCCTCATCCCATCTCACAAAATCCTTCAGAACTTTAACAGGTCTCTTTTGTAAATCCAATATAAAAAAGTTATCCAAATTTCTCTTTTGATTTGCCATTTGTATATCCCTTTTAATTATTAAGACAACAGCCAATTTCATTCATGTAACATCTTTTCCCATATCATTTTTGTAGCTTGTCATTCTTAAACCCACTTTCAGATCGGTCTCAGTCTTGTCCAGTAAAACTTGTTCCTCTTCCAAAACATATTTTAAAGACATTCTATCTATAATGGCATACACTTTTAACTTCTAGATCCATTGCTCAAAAATATCCTCCAATACATCCGATGTGAAAGTATTTTGCTCCATGCTGTGTTAGTAAGTCAAATTTAAGTGTTCTTCCCCTTTAATTATAATCTTTAGTTCTTTCTGGTTCCCCCTAGTGTCCAACCTTCAAATTCCCATCCTATCATGTTTTCTTCTAAGAATTCAAAACAGCATTCTCCCATGGGAAAAATCCTTACAATTAATTTCAAAATCTTATTTCAAATCCATCTGGATCCTTAGTCTGTTTATAACTTTCCAAAATCAATGTTCTAATCACCCTCAGCTAGGGTTTGATTTTTTTTTATCATTCAGCATTACCAGGGCAAGCATTATCACAAGCTTTCTTTGGCTGTGGCTTAACATAGTGTCTAAACCCAACCATTGTGGCATGTAAACCATGGTTTATGTTGTGCGAACTGAATCTACGGCTGTGTTCTCAAGACACAACTGTAGTAAACTGAACTATGTTTTCCTGAACACAGAGTTCACATGATATACTAGACCATAAACAGACAACACGGGCTGGGCTAAAATATAGTCAAGTATTTCCAAGACTTTATCTTGGAAGCGAAGCAGAATCCAGCCTGGTGATCTCTTGGAAATACCTGGGCTGCAGGTAATTCTGGGAAATCAAAAACACACCCTGAAAGAAAGCAACGGTAAATTCAGTTTAGCATGATGTGTAAACAAGCCGCTATAAAAAAGATGATTTTCATAGCAACAGTAGGGATCCGCACCAAGTTCAGTAAGTTCTGCTGATCCTTTCTGGCCCTGCTAGTTTTTGGATGGAGTAGCATTTATTCCATCAATCTCAAATCTGGAGCAGATCTGGATTTTGAAGCGGTACTAGAGAGCAGCAAAGCAAGGGGGGGGGGGGGGACCTCTTTGACTCTTTGCTGCCATCTGGTTGATCCCTGGAAGGAAAGAGTCTGTTTTTTCAAGCACCCCAGTATTTAACAATGGATGTACCTTTTCATTTTTTCCCTTTCAGCCTGGCTGTCCCCAAAAAGGATGATTTGAAGTTTCAGGAAGAGAGAAGGAAGATAGAAACAAATAAAACAAACATCCCAGCCTGGCTGTCATCCATCTTAAATGTAAACAAAATCAGAATGGCACATCTGAATACTTATTTCTCTCTGTGGTTTGCATATCCCTAAATTTCAATTCTCCCTTTCGATTTAGAAAGTCTCTCTTCAGACGACCTACTTGATGTAAAAATTCCAATATTTTTGTGGTGCTTGAAAAGACCCTAGTTTTCTTATACTGTAGTGCCATCCTGTAAAGATCTACCAGAGGACAAATTATTTTCAACAGAGTCCAGTCCCAGCTAAGTAAATAAGTTTATAACCTCACTTTCCTCATTCTCACCAGTTAAATTTTTATAGAATTTGTCAGGTCTGTTTAAGCCACTCCTCCAAATTAGTCCTCATTAGCTTGTTTCCATTTACTGACAATTTGAAATACCAAAAACTATACAGATTCATTTTTTAAACAATCTACGTCTTGGTGCATATAACACTCAAAATCATAACATGGATTGCTTTCTTTGGCTGCAGCTTAGCACAGTGTGCAAAAATAATGGTTTGTAAACCATGGTTTATGTTAGGTAGACTCAGTCTATGGCTATGTTCTCAAGACACAACCACAGTTAACTGAACTATGTTTTACTGAACACAGTGTTCTCAGTTCACATGATGTACCGGACCATAAACACACAACACAGGCTGGGCAAAAATACAGTTAGCTATTTTGTGAAAGTCTTCCTAGCCTGAATCATACAGGGCAAGTGATATTTGAATAAATGGCCTGATTCAGACAACACTGCAATAAACCATAATGGACCATAGTTGGTTTCATCTTATTCAATAATGCAAATCTACTATATCTACAGTAGTTTGGAAACCATGGTTTATGACTTAGCCGGCTTTGCAAATCTAGGAGATTGCAGTTAAATTATGGCATAGCATGACATGGGAATCCAGTTTAAGAAAGAGCATTTGTTGTGTCTTGAAAAGTATGCCTTTTTATTGTGAGCAATACACCGTCATACTGAATTTTATTGAAACATCTTGCTCATTTTAAACTAGTTAGCTTTTGGAGGGGGGGCATTTGGGACAAAGTGGCACCCAAACGTAATCAATCACAATTCAGGGCTCAGCCATCATGCTGAGCTGCCAAAGGGGATGCCAAGGCGGCCGCTACCAACTCATTTGTCAGCTGCCAAAATTATATTAAGCGTTCACGCTAGCAGGATGGCCCTGTGAGTAATTGGAAGTGGCGGGAGGTGTGTTGGGTACAGCAAGGCGCAAATCTATCAACTGAAGAATTGGAGACCAGAAGATGCCAGGGTCAGGTTTATGGCTTTTAATAAAATTGGTTACTTGAAAAAGGTGCTGCCAGACGACTCCTGATTTTTGCCACCCTATACGTGTTGGCCCTACAGGTCAGGTTTGCAGAAATATCAGTCAGTCGGGCTCAATGGCTGTCTGCATCTGTCTTCTCTAGAATGGGGAAGCTGCAGTGTGTACGCATTTTACTTTCTCTAGTGTTCGCCCCTCAGAAGGCACATCTTATCCCCCTCTCGTACCCGCTGAAAGAGAAACACCATTGACTGCCTCCCCACCCAGTTCACTAGTGGTGCTTTGGGGCTGCAGAAGCGCAATCATGGTGATTTATTCCATACCCTCCACTTGTTTCCATTTACCAAAGATTTCAGCTATCCAAACTGTAGATTGATAGATCACCTGAACCATGGGAAGGTTTTTCAAACTCTGCAGTATTACGTTCCCCTAAAATCATACACATGTGATACACACACTCCACCTCAAAACTAATGACTACATTGGGGCTATTGGTTGGGCAAGAAATAAGCATTATTTCTACTACATTTTAATATATGTATCTCAAGGCTGGACAGATTATGCAGTACAGGTAGTCTTCAACTTACGACCACAATTGGGACTGGAACGTCTGTCACTAAGTTATGCACCTGATTTTACGACCTTTTTTGCCGTAGTTGTTAAGCAAATCCAGCTTCCCCCATTGACTTTGCTTGTTGGAAGCCCCCTGGGAAGTTCACAAATGGTGATCATGTGACCCTGGGATGCTAAAACCATCTTAAAGTCATGCTAGTTGCCAAGCACCTAAATTTTAATCATGTGACTGTGGGGATGCTGCAACGGTCATAAGTGCAAGGACCAATCATAAGTCACTTTTTTCAATGCCATTGTAACTTCAATCCATCATTAAATGAATGGTCGTAAGACGAGGACTACTTGTACTACTGTGGACCACTGTGGGCTGTGCAGGCAAAGTAGGAAGTGAACTTCAGAGAGAGTTTTAACAGTGTTCCTGCCTTGCCTGCACTAGCCCGATCAGGTTTTAAAAATGTTTGCAACCCACCTCCTTCCATTAGTTGCAGCCCCTATGTGAGTTCTGACCCAGAGTTTGAGAGTCAGTTCAGCCCGGTATATGACCCCAGTTTGTTTATGAATGGAGATTTTCTCAGCTCAGATTCTTGAGGTGTTCATAATGAGCTTAGTGACATCAGCACTGGAGGTGGTGGCCGGTATTGCTGCTGTTCTGTGCATATGTAAAAACACAAGGGTGGTATTAGTATCGGCATTAGAAAAGGGGTGTTAAAGGAACTGTCTTTGCTGCTGCATTTTTGTATCTGAACAGTGTGAATGAGAGCGGACATGACTGAGATGTATAAAATCATGCATGGTGTGGATAAAGTGGACAAGGAGAAGCTATTTTTCCCTTCCCAAAATATTAAAACCAGAAAGAATCAGAACAAACAAAAGGATTTTTTTTTTTTTGCACAATATATAATTAAATGTTGGTAATCGCTTTCCCCAAGATGTGGTGCTGACTACCAATTTGGCTGGCTTCCAAAAAAAAGTTGGAGCCA